TTGTAGACTGAACTCTCTTCTCTTTAGGCTCCGAGTTGTTTTTGGGTGGGATGGTCTAATTTTTCTTCGCCACTAGTGGCAACGAAGTTCTTGGTAATTAGCAAGGGGGAAGGAAGATCTCCACTCATTTCATTCATTCAGTGCCTGCGGTGAGGCGCGACCCACAACAAACGAAGGGGGAAAGCTTGCTGTAGCCCTATTTTAGTAGATTAGGCTTGGTAAGCGTAAGCTAGATTGAAGTAGGCTCGCAGCTTCGCCAGAAGCGACGAACCCTTGATCCTAGCCGACGACTACATGAGGGGGGGAAGCTATCGTAGAAGCTTTACCCCTTGCTTTACAGAGATAGTTATGAACTGACTAAATGACTCTATTCTCCCGGAACGCTAGCTAAGCTAATAGTCTGAGTTCCCTTCAATTCAATAAATAAGCTTTTTGATTGATTCAGGGCGCCCCCTTTCTTAGAATTAGAACCCATTGAGGGGGGCCTCGGCCCGGGAAGGGGAGAGTGGCCGAGTGGTCAAAAGCGGCAGACTGTAAATCTGTTGAAGTTTTTCTACGTAGGTTCGAATCCTACCTCTCCCACTTGTTTGTTGTAGACTTCAGAGAAGAGAAAAGAGGCATTCATCAGCGTAAAGGCCAACCGAGCGAAGCTCTTTCTTTTTTTTGGCCGTGCCGTGAAGTTCAATTGTATCGTATGTTAGTTAGAGAGGTTGGCGAACTACTACGATCTATAGATTCCCCATCTATATCCAATCCCAACGAGAATAGAAGCGAGTCGCTTCCGGCTTGTCTTGTAGTCGTAGTCTTTTAGCTTATGTAGTCGTCGGCCTTCCTACACGCATGCGTTCGCCAGAATGCCTCCTTGGTTCGGGACGAAGCCAAGCCGATACATACGATAGGCGAAGGAAATACCCCCATTTCATAGCGCCTGGGGAACGCAAGTGGAATCGAGGATTGGAGAGGAGAGGTGGAATAAAAGGCTCGGGATGGATTTAGGAGTCTTTGTGCGAGCCGTATGCGGTGAGAGTCGCACGTACGGTAACGAGGGGGGTTCGCGTCTATACGTGTAGTGTGGTGCTTGGGCCTACCCACCCTATTTGTTCCATGATCTATGGGTCTACTGGAGCTACCCACTTCGATCAATTAGCCAAGATTTTGACCGGATACGAAATCACTGGTGCTCGATCTAGTGGTATTTTTATGGGGATTCTATTTATCGCTGTAGGATTCCTATTCAAGATCACTGCAGTTCCTTTTCGGGCGGCTGTAGGATGGACGGCCGCCTATAGGTGGTAGGGTAGGGTGGGTGGTGGTACCGCTCAGATTGCGGCCAATCTTCCTAACCGCGCGCGGGCCGGGCTTAGAGCGCGTGAAACTCATCACTACCTCGTAAGGGCGTTGAGACCATAGCATGTTACACGAAAGCGCCGCTTTCTCTGTAGTGTTGTCACACAGCTGCCCGCCTAGAAGAGCCACTCGCTCTGTAGTGTTGTCACACAAGATAAGCACGCCGCCCGCCTGCTGGCCGGGCGAATCGAAGTTCTCTTCCGGTCAACTGTCCACCCAGTCAAGTGCAAAAAACACAGTAGAATCACGCAACGCACGCTGCTGGTGTGCTTCCTGCTCGCGAGGAAAGAAAGAAGAGCGACAAGGTTCAGATTTGACTGTTTGCAGCATGGGAGCAGATTCCCCAAAAAATCCCTGGGAACAATAAAAAAAAAGATATCTCGGTAACGAAAACTATAGGGGGCTGTATTGGCGAGATCCAACGGTGAACAGCTTCCCAAAAGAAAAACCGCCTGGAAGTCCGAGGACCTTTAGTACTGTACTCTACCCCCGAACCAGCAGCCTTCGCGCCAAGCAAGACCGCCCTTGTCCCTTTCCTTTCTCCATTCCGCCTCCTTCTTTGCTTTGTTTTCCAATAGAGTATAAGGCAAAGTGGTTCGTATGCCTACTTTACCTACTTGACGAAAGGGAACGAACTTTGTTTCATTTCCGGGGTTATGAATTGGATTCAGTAAGCCTCACTCCTTCCTTTTTATTATGTCGTGAGGCTTTTGTTACCGGCCAAAGGCGACCCTCTCGAGTTTCCGGCTGTTTCCTAGATTGAAGTAGCCTTTCGTCGCCCTACCAAACGAATTCACTATCAAACAGCTCGCCCTATTTAAGTACCAAAGGTGCGCTCAGCCCGGTGACTAAGAAATGGGGTTGCCCTTTCATTGAAGTGATGAGGTCGGAAAGAGGGAAGTAGGGCTCCTATTGACTAAAGGTTGGTTCTTCGCTTTCCTTTAGAATGAAAGTGGCTATGAAGCCCCTACTACTTACTTTCTTTTTTTTTTTAGTGCAACAATGAAAGTGACTGCGCCCTCTTCCCTGCAGCTTTCCATATTTTGTATTGAACGCATGGCGTAGCTAGGACCCTTCAAATCATGTTTGAGCCTATGTGAAAACCCACCCCCTATTTTACTAAGGCTGGAAAGAATGCCCACCAAGTTCAGCCCACGGAGCGGGAATGCTTTCCCCAACCATTCAAGGAAAGACTCGACGAAGGGAAGGAAAACGCTTTTTTTACCGAGTTCCGCCCGCTGGCCTATTGGGATAGCAGCCTTCGGGCTTTGCCTGCCCTTTCAAAATTCCGGCTCGGCCCGGGAAAGCGCTGGCAACAACAGAAAGGAAGGGGTCCATGTAGCTGCTGCGTCCGCCCCCTTCTTAGTCAATGGGGCACAGCGGGTTCGGCATCTACTACAAAAGAGAGAATCCACTTAAGATAACCACGCCTCTGCTAGGCAGCGTGTGGAATGGCCGAGAGCGGACCTTTTTGGATATATAATCCAAGTCGAGAGTAGAGTTACGGGAACAGCCGTCTGATGGAAAACAACTTTCACGTTCGGTTCAGAGAGCACTTTTTTCGTTGAGAATTCCTCGTTCCCTTTCGTGTGAATTCCCCAGCGACGAATTCAAAACTTGTGGGGCCCTATCTATTCCATCTCTCGAGCCCCGAAGAAAACCCCCTCCCCTTCGGACTCCATATCCCTTTTGACTCTATATATGTGGGCACCTGATATCTATGAGGGTTCACCCACCCCGGTTACAGCATTCCTTTCTATTGCGCCTAAAATATCTATTTCTGCTAATATTTCACGTGTTTCTATTTATGGTTCTTATGGAGCTACATTGCAACAAATATTCTTTTTCTGCAGCATTGCTTCTATGATCTTAGGAGCACTGGCCGCCATGGCCCAAACGAAAGTAAAAAGACTTCTAGCTCATAGTTCAATTGGACATGTAGGTTATATTCGTACTGGTTTCTCATGTGGAACCATAGAAGGAATTCAATCACTACTCATTGGTATCTTTATTTATGCATCAATGACGATAGATGCATTCGCCATAGTTTTAGCATTACGCCAAACCCGTGTCAAATATATAGCTGATTTGGGCGCTCTAGCCAAAACGAATCCTATTTTGGCTATTACCTTCTCCATTACTATGTTCTCATACGCAGGAATACCCCCGTTAGCCGGCTTTTGTAGCAAATTCTATTTGTTCTTCGCCGCTTTGGGTTGTGGGGCTTACTTCCTAGCCCCAGTGGGAGTAGTGACTAGCGTTATAGGTCGTTGGGCGGCCGGAAGGTTTCCACGAGTCAGTCAGTTTGGGGGACCGAAGGCAGTTCTCCGTGCACCGGACACGTAGCTTACCGAATCAGTTGCGACACGGATGGGAATGCATGCTACGAAAGATAGGGTCGAGTCTGATACAGAAACCGTCTACTCAATATCCTTGTACGAGTCCACAATCACTACACGAGATGAACCTGAGTTTGGTGAATTGAAGTTGGCCTTAGGTGTAATGACTCCCAGTTACTCCGCGCGATCGTATACTGAGGTGCTCCCCGCCGGTTGTTGGAACGACGCGAGCCGGGCCGGGTCTCGATTCAGAAAGATGAAGGGAAATAGGGGGTTACAAATTCCCCATCTCATTGGGGGCGGAAAACGAATCGACATCTCGATGTGATACAGCCCTTTCTATTTTAGTTGGGAAAGAACGGCGAAGTCCATCCGAACCGTCCAATGAAGAATAAGAGGAGAGCAAAGCGCCAATGGCGCGCGAAGCGCATGCGGAACGGGCACGGATAAAAAGAAGTGTGGAGGAGAAGCAGCCGAGCTAATTCCCTTCGCTTCCTGGGTCCAAAGCAGTATTTCCTGGCAAAACAAAAGAAAGGATTTGGGGTGACTCTAAATATACATTTTTTTTAGTCATATATGAATAGAAAGATAGATCCATCCATCTATGCTATCTTATTTCTATTTTGATATAGAAAAAGCATTCAACGTTGAATGAAAAGAACTCCCCCCCACTCATGAAACGGCTCTGCTGCAATGGATGGCAGAGGGTCCGTAGTACCCGAAGCACTGGAGTGATCCAGTAGCCGGGAAGGGGCCTAGAAGTGCCTACTACTACACCACACTACACAGGGCTCTACACATTGACAAAGCTCACCCCTGTCCAGAGCTAAGGGGGCTTCAATCCTTACTATTTATCCCCCAGGCTAACGGGGCCTTACTTATTAAGGGGGGAGCCTCGAAAAGCACTGTTTAGAGGAAGATCCTTGGCCCCTCTTCATTCTCTACAAGGTTCCAAACCTTTCTTCAACATAGGTGACAACGAGCCAGGCAGAGATGGAAGAGATCAAACACGGGAATAAGAAGCAAGCTCGCCTTCCTTTTTGATCATTTTGATAGAGGGGGATGCAGAAAGTGGACAAAATAGACTCGCATTTCTCATCGAACAAATACAGTATTTCATTGGTTACATATTGAAAACGCTCCTAACCCCTTCCTTCGTAGAGCCCGTGTATTGTAAGTGATCCGAACCTGCCCGGAGCGAGCCTCCCATATAGGCAAGTTCAGTTGGTGAGCCGTATGATGGGCAACTATCTCCTGCGGTTCGGAGAGGACTAAGCTGTTAGTTAGTACCCCCTTGGTTTCGGGGTGGACCCTTTCACTCTATTTTATTATATACGCTTAGTGAAAAGAATGTTTTTTGATACACCTAGGACATGGATTCTATATGAACCAATGGATCGTGACAAGTCGTTACTACTAGCAATGACTTCCTCTTTCATTACTTCATTCTTTCCATATCCTTCTCCTTTGTTCTCAGTTACTCATCAAATGGCACTCAGTTCATATCTTTAAGTTCGATCATTGACAAGGTTCAAAGAAAGGGTGGGGCTCTAAATGAATAGAAAGACAGATCCGCTGATCTTATCAGCCCTTTTCTTATATATAGGATAGCACCATCTCTTCCTACTACGCGGTAATATTTTGAAGACTATGCTTTTGTCGGTACGGAAAGCTAGTCTTCTTACCCAGATTCAAGTGAGCCCAATAGTGCAGCGGATTCTGTAAGAGCAAGGATAGAAGGGACATCCCGATGGGAAAGAAGGAAAAGACAGTCTTTGACTTCCCGAAGGCAAGGCTGCTACCAAGCCTTATTTCTTAAAAAGCCAAAGGGCTAGAACCAGGAAATCAATTCTATAAAGCAGAAGTCGTGCTAACAACCGTTGGCTCAGGGACGGATCCCATACATCTATAATTCGCTTACTCAAGTGAGAGTTCCCTATAAGAATTATAGGAGTCCAGTTCATAATATTTGAAAAGCTATCGAGCTATAGGAAAAGGAAAGTAAAGCGTTAGGGCAAATCTAAATATATATCCAGTTTTCAATCCAGCAGGTATAGCAGGTTTACTAGCCATTGATCCAGTTATAGAACTAGTTTGAATGCTAGTTCCAGTGATTCAATTGCATAAAAATGAGAATCTATTCCCCCTTTACCTGCGGTTGGACTCCCTAGAGATTTATTTTCATGAGAGGGTGTAGGATTACTATCATAGGTTTCTGGAGAGGTGCTCTAATAACGTCTGGGTCTGGGAGAATACTCAAATCTTATTTTTCCTTAATGAACTCTAAATAGGAAGTTTACCAAAAACCCAGTGATCAAGCAGGAAAAATGCAAGCCTGTGAGGAATCAAGTTGCTTTTTAAGGTAGGAGTCTGTATCAAGTAAGCTAGGAAGTACTATTGGAAGAAGCACTATTTCAAATGCGAATGGATGGATTTGATTCGTTTTATTTTATCCAGTCCTAAACTAAGCGTATCCGATAGCAGTGCTTCGCCCTTCGAGTGCTTATGCCTTTTCTGATAATTCTTTCCCTGGGAAGTTTGGTCTAAGGAAGGGGATAAGGGGTCTCTTTCTGTCCATGGTTATCTGGTGAGGCTAACTCGGTATCCTCTTTCCGTGTGAGAAGCTATTTGCAATATATCCTTTCAATTCAAATGAAAGTAAAAAAGACCCCAGCCATTTAGAGTCTTAAGCTAAGCGCATTCTAGGAGGAGGGGAATAAAGCAAGCCAGTTCCTTGTCTTCGTTCTGTCCGGTTGGATGGAGCGGATGTTGAAAGAGCTAGGATACCAATCGGTCAGGGAATCGGCGATTTCCTTTCACGAATAGGAAAGCATAGAAACTCAAGAAAGAGGTCGTAGTCTACCCGAGAGGTGTTAGCGTCCATGCAAGGAAGCAATCCAGGGCTTCAAAGTTCTTTTTTTAGTCACGATAAGAATGAAAGGTAGTTCGCCAGAGATGCTGGCCCTATCTAATCTTATCTAATTCAGGGTCCAGCTCGTGACAATCCCGTTTATTGCGTCGAAACCAACCGGAGGAAAAGAATATTTCTTTATTATTATGATTGATAAGGTAGTGGAAAGTACCCCGTTGTTAGGGTGGGGAATCCAATTGAGAATCGTGGTAGTAGACATAGACGTTCAAGCAAGCCTAACCGATCGGATGGGACTCCCGCAAAATGGACAGTGAATGCTCAATCAAGTCCGATGGTTCCGATAAGGGGTTAGTACGCTATTACTAGGTAGGCTCTATACGGCACAATAATGAATGCGAATTCGCAGGTCGCTCCTAACTCCGCACCAAACCGAAGGAGTTTGACCCAAAGGGGGTTGAACGCGGATTGTTGCTAGCCGCCCTTACTCAACATAGGGCAGCTAGCAGTTCTTGTGTGACGAGTGTTGCTAATTCATAGCCACCAAATCCAGGTAGGACAATTTGACGGGTCCACTTAGAACCCATGCTTTGAAAAAGGCATGTCTCGGTTGGTTTGAAATGGTTTCGAACGTAGTACGAGCCTCCTTTTCTCAATACACTTAGTTAGCACCACAAGCGTCTTGAGCGCGCAGAATCAAATAAAAATTCCTTTCACCCTATTAGGGCGATACGGAAGTGAGCTAGACTGTCTCATGTCAAGGTATATAGTATTGAATGACTAGTAGACTAAAAAAAGGGGTGTTTGCTATGCCGGAAAGATATGCCTACTATGGGGCTTTCAAAAGTATTTTTGTGGTACAACACCACAACCAAAAAAGGGTAGTCGCTTATGATGGTACGATCTGGTACCGGGGATCATAGTGCGTAGCCGGGAAGGAAGTGTTTATGAAGTTCGCAGTGAAAATGTTACTTGTGCCCCTTTCCTTTAGTTGGTGAAAGCTAAGGTGGAAGTTGGTGGGCGTATAAGTGAAAGTGCAATCCAAATCATCATCTGCAATATCCACATCTTAATCAACAGACTAAGCAGCAGGTAAGGGTTTCAATGTTTTTTTTTTCATCTTCATTCGAAAAGGCGAGAGAGAGTAACTAGGTCGAACTCGAAGACGCTCAATGGAAAAGCCATAAACAACCGGCCCCTATCACATAAAGGGCGAACCCACCTGAGAATGCCAAGCCTGGTACTGGTAGGTGATCGGAGTGATATATACGATCAATCAGGTTGAGGAACAACAAGCTATGAGCGGACACCAACAACCGTTACCGTTTTAGGTGGAGAAGACTAGAAAGCAGCATGTACGGGTGTGGGTGGTAGGAAGAGCAAAGTAGTAATCCCCGAGACGATTGGATTTTATTATAGTGAGTGGAAAGGAAAAGGTTCCATTAGCAGACCCCTCCCTTGTGAAGGGAAAAGAATTCATCCTGCGGAGGGCCTTACTATAGATAGGCGCGAGCCGCTTCTCATCTTTGAGGATCGGCATTCTATCTTGATTTTCTCTTCCCGATGAAGGGGACACGACAACATTTGCTTAGGAGATTGGGGACCACACCTCCTTCCAAGACCCACTCACATCCGATTGCGGGAAAAGCCTCTATATCAGTCTTCCTTAAGTGAATAAATGACAATTTAAAAGATTCTGCTCGTGAGCATAATGGTATAAGCCTGCCTGCTGAAGACCGTAACGTAAGTAACTTAGTGCAAAATCAAAAGTGAAGTACCCGCACGTGTGTAGAGATCAACGGAAGACTCCGCGGCAGAACGATCCGACGAAATGTGCCGCATTGGCCCGATAAAAGAGAACAAATAGAGAATGCTTGTGTGCGTGCATGGAGCCCATGAAATACCATGAGAGAACGAAATGTAAGCGATAGAAGGAGAGAAATCCTATTCAGGAATGAAAGGTACGTGCAAGGGTGAATCTTGAGAGGTTGGACAACAACTACGCACGAATTGGATTCGCAATAGCTTGCTTTCTCTTCGGACAAGAAATATCGTATGATAAGAAATCAAGCCAATCTTTCCCCGCCTCGATGTCAATAAAAGAAGGCTTGCCCGAGCTCTGGTAAGAAGGACGTCGTCTCATACATTGCGAAGGGCCTCTCCATCTTCGAATGAGGAGGCCAGCCCAGAACGAAGTAGCAAGCCTAGACCAAAGAGGGATCTTGTACGAATCCATGTTCGAAGGCAAGCAAGGCAGGTGAGAGGACCAAAGGCCTTCGTCAGATGTTAGAGTTGGAAGGCAATCAATGGAAGAACTCCGATGGGAGTAGAAGGGTGATAGCATCGACAAAGAGAGGTCTTTTGGCGTCTTCTCTTATGATATTTGTTTAGAGCGTGATCGGATTCATTATAAAAAGTCTGGTTCTGGTTTAGCTGGCCGCTTCTAAAGTACGGATGGGACGTCCAACTCGAGAGCTTTTCCACTCAATAAAAAAAATGAGTCAATATAGGGCTAAACACGAATAGGCGCCTCTACACGGGAAAGGAAGCTCACGAGAAAGGAATAGGTGGAGGCCACCCGGCAGTACAAAAACGAAATTAGACATTGGGGACAAACTCAATAGTCAAACATTCCAGGAGTCAAAGACTCCAACGGCTAGCATTTCGGCAAACGCTCTTGAACTCCATCTTACTGTCTACGATGTCGTACTGTCGGAGATATTTCTTCATTCGTAGATGTATACGGATATAGTGATTCGGAGGTTACAACATTATTCGTATGTTCTAACACTCCAGCGGGATTCATTGTTTTCTCTTTCTGGGTACATTGGAATTGACTATTTCATTATCTTTTGAATGATAAGAAATCATGTTCAACAAACAAAAATTTATAAATGCGGTTTCAGCTGTAGGTAATTTAGAAGTGTTCGAGCTCGCCCGAAAAATGGAAAATCTGAGTTTGGATGATCAAAATACTAGTACTATTTCATCTATGTGTCACACAAATAAGTATTCAACCACTAGTCAAATTTTGGATAGATTTAAAAAATATAGTATGAATTCGGAATTGACACGCAAATTGATGGATCAAATCAAATTACCCTTATTGGATATACCTAAGACTGTATTGGATTTGACTTCTAATATATCTAATTATCAATTTACCTTAGGTTTTAGATTTATGCCTGGACAAAGTGAGTATGTACAAAATCATCTGAAAATGCCTGAGACTTTAGAAGGTTTAAAAGGTTTAAGAAATAAACTAGGACTATCTTTAGCAAAAGACTCTCTAAATCATCGAGGTATCCTCCAGTTTCATGGTTTATCAGAAATACATGCAAAAGGCTCTATGCTGATGAATCGTGTTTTGGTTGAAGCTATCACTTATCATAATGGATTTTATGGACGTTTCATAGTATTGGCCCAAATAGGCATAGGTTTGACC